TTCTATGATTCTATGATCTGCTGCCAGCAGGGGTGGGGAGGGGAATAAATATTGTATTCTGCATGGATTAGATTCAGCCATTATTTTTTACAAAAGAGTACATTAATTTGAAATCAGGCATCAGTTTCAAGTAGAGCAAAGGCTAGCCTGCACTGACAGACTGGTGAACTTTGCAATTGGGAGTCAAAACTGTAAACTAAGGTAAAATTTGTTTGTGTGAAATTGTATTTTTTTTTGCTTTATTTGCAGTGTGTGATTTGTATGTATGACAGCATGTGTAATATACTTAGTTCTGTTATTAAAAAATGTTTCAAACTGATGAATATATTTCTGTTTTTCAGACCCCATCAGCTGTTCAGAAGATAAAACAGCTTCTTAAGGATAAACCTGAGCATGTAAGTGCAAACAAGGCCATCTTGTAAATTGTGTTAAGATATTAGCACTGTAGATGATTGTGAAGCATTTCTAGCTAACCTAGTAGCTTGAAATAAATACTGAACTACTTAGAGATGTTGATGCCTTTTTTGAGGGAAATGTATCAGCTTATTTATCTATCAAGCTTTAGTTCTATTTAAAAATGTAATCCAAAAAAATGACTGACTGTGATGACATTTCATGGTACAGTTACTCTTGGAATAGATAAAACTGAAAAAATAATTTTAACTTCAAAATGTTTCTCATCTAGATTTTAAGTAACTATCCTAGCATGGCATAGATTATGACTTCTGGTAGGGGCAGAGATCTCCAACTGTTGATTTGAAGATATTAATCAAGTTCTTGAAGGAATTCTGCCTATGAAATATATAATTATTGTTGCACATTTATCATAGCGCTTTCATAGAGGTTACTGTACTTTTCCGTTTTAATTATGCAGTGAAGCATACATGTTTGGACAGAAGTGCAAATACTTGTGGAAGATTTAGTTTTCTGGTTCATGTGTCCCTACAACCATTTCTCAGTTCTTTACTTACATAGATGTTCTTCTTGTTTGGTGTACAACATCATGTTGGATAATTATAAATAATTAAAATGCATCAACTAGGTTGGCCTTTAACATTGTTTACTACAATAAATGAATAGAGATACTTGACAAAGGAGAGAGAGGATTGGTTTTTAAGTATTGAAGATCACAAAGTATTTTTTCAAAACTTGGATTGAAGTGAAAGTTTTCTGGTAGCCATTATTGGCGTTCCATGCAAATCTAGTAACAAGTATAACTGTAGACTCAACTGATTTATTCTTGCAATACTGTTTTCACATAAAATGTGTAATAACATAGAACAAATGTAGCATGGAATGAAGAGCCAAATTTTGCTAATACCAACTCAAATGAGAGTTATAAAATGAGTAATAAATATTTATGATTTGTGTTCTAACCTTTACCTTGGTAGTTGGTTTGTAAAAGAGAAAAATGTTGCCTCCTAATCCATTAAGCTTCTATTTTACTATTGTGTTTGAGGGAGGGAAGAATAAATATCAGCATTTTGTTGTTATGTGTACTTTTTATCTTGGTGTTCCAGAAGATGCTTAAAAAGTTATTAATGTTTTATTTCAGGTAAGTGTGAAAGTAGGTGTTCGTACAAGAGGATGCAATGGACTTTCTTACACATTAGAATATACAAAATCAAAAGGAGAATCTGATGAAGTAGTAGTTCAAGATGGTGAGTTTCTGAAGCAGTAGAGCAAAACTGTGTGGTGATGAGTTTTCCAAGGGACAGGTTAGAATTTCTTTGAAGGAACAAATTATAGAGGCAGAAGTCCTAGCATTCTGTTATAAGAATTATTGCCTTAGCTTTTGTTGTGAAGATAAAGAAGTAACTAGTTAAAATCTGTAGATTTGCAGTGGAAATAGAAGTTGGATCAAGGATGCCCCTCATTTCATGTCCATGTTGGATTAAGTTGAAATTCTCTAGGATAGCAACAAGAGTTTGTGCACTGGGCCAGAATAGATGGTCTAGTCTATTATTCTGATCTTTGGAGGAGGCCAATAGCAGATATTTAGAGAGAGTATAAAACAAGTTATATCTAGAAAAATGCTTTACCAGCATACCTAAAATAATCATGGTGAGATAAATCCATACAAAAAATACCTGCACATGTACACACTCAAATACCAGTGTTAGACTGTTCCTAGGGTTTTATAGGAAGACCGCAAAAAAGAAAAAAAAGCGGTGTCCCATCTTAGACTGGTGAAATTAAATTATATTGATGGACTTTGTATTTAACTCCCATTTTAATCACTGACATGCAAATTCAAAGTGAATAATGAAGAGTTTGGCTGTATGTAATTTTATTGTTGTTGTCTTCAAGGCGTTAGAGTGTTTATTGAGAAGAAAGCACAGTTGACGCTTCTAGGAACTGAAATGGACTATGTAGAAAACAAACTGACCAGTGAATTTGTCTTCAATAATCCAAATATCAAAGGAACATGTGGCTGTGGGAAAGCTTTAACATATGAAATCTCAGGACTATTACTTTGTCTTTGAACACCACAAAACGCTTGCTGACTATTTGACTTTCAAAAGCATATGTGTTTTCTTCAGGTTCCTAGGCTGTGTAAGGTGTGGATGCCTTTAAGGAAAATAATGTTAATTCATTTTAAAAATCTAAATTGTGTGTTAAATTCCACCACTGATGTATTTATGCTGTAATTTGTGATGAATTGGGATCCAGAGTGTAAAAGAGTAAGTGCTGCAGCATTTCTGTATTTTCATATATGAAAGAAAATCTCACTGTTCTTTTCCTTTGTCATTTTCTTTGTCCTCTCCCCTCATACTTCCTAATCCAAAACCCATTAGCAAAAATATATTGCCTATGTATTCTGCTTTGATTTGAAATGCCATTTATATGTTTGTGTGTTTATAGATATTTATATATACAGACACACACTCAGCTCAGAATTTGTTATGATTATGTAGATGTGTATTGTATTTTATTAGGTTTCAGATGCTTTTGTGTTTCTGTGTATAGGTTTTCTAGTGGTTTATTTTCCCACACATCTAGGGAAGTCCAAAAAAGAAGTACATGTGCTATTTTGTTACCACTTCAAAATGTGCTAACCCAATCCAGTACTTTGCCTTGTTGAAGGCACAGTCCATGATGTAGTTCTAAAGTGGTTTTCAAGAACGGTAAGTTAAAATATATTCAGACATAGATGTATTAAAGCAGAATACACATGGGCCTTGTTTCTCATATTTCTGTTGTTTCTCTTCACCTTGCTTGACTTAAATTGCAAAACTGCTTTCAAACTCCGATTCCCAGTGTTCACAGAATATGTGTATTCTTCTATGCTATCTGTGTACCAGAAGATATGAAGGTCTCTGATGGAGGAAGGAATCTTGGAATTTTCATTAGCTTTTTGTAGTCATGTTTGTTACTAATTTTGTTAAAGTTTGACTTTTATTTAGCAACTGTGTAGGACCCAAGTTTTTTCACTTATAAAATTTACGGTAATTTCTGTTTTGACTTCTGTCTTGAGATTAATGTGTTAGCAGGAAAAACATTTATAATTTAAAAAGGCTCCTATTTAAAACATGCTTAAAATCAATCCTATCAGTAATTAAAATATAATATTTATAGGAGGCCTTTTTTTTCCCTTTGGAAATTAAACTTGCTTATTTTCTCCTAATCAGAATTTTCCTTTTCCAAAGCAGTGTTTTTCAAGCTTAAGCACTTATTCCACTGATGCTCAGACAGAAGTGTGAACCTCTATCCTGGAGTTGATATGATAGAAATAGCTTTCTATCCTTATATCCTCTTGTTTACCTGATTGTCCAAAGATGATGTGCAGCTAGGTTACTTGCTTGTGCAGAAGAAAAAAAAAAAAAAAAAAAACTTGTCTGTTTGGGCAGCAACTTGTCTGGGCAACTTGTCTGTCTGTCAGCAGTTACTCAAAAGGTAGAAATAAAAGTAGTGGGCAACAGGGACATGGTTATTACTGTCAAAGAGAGGAGGGCATTGACATGGGAGTGAACAGAGTATTAAGGCAGGAAGTTGAAAATCTAGAGGTTGCATTGGTCCAGCGAGTTGTTCATTGGGCATGTATTAGACAAATTTCGAAGAGTAAAATGCTGAAGGTGTAGGGATGCAAGCTAGGTAGGCCTGGTTTGGGATAAAAGTGTAGAGGGAGGACTAAAAATGATTTTAAAAAAAGCAAAAAAAAAAACATTCTTGATATATCTTATATATTGCATGGGAATTGAAGAATAGAATTTCCACAGGTATAGTTTAATATTGAATACTTGAATTTAATTGTATATTATATCACCTTTTGATGTAAAAATACTGTTTTCCTTTTATTAGTCAACTGTTGTACGAAATTGCTTTATTTTATATAGTAATTCAGGAAGAACTGGTAATACGGGGGCTAGGTGAATTTATAATGCCATAAGTCCTTCAGTCTTGCCAAAAAAATCTAGTGAATGTGATCGACTTGAGCTTGTATGTCTAAAACTCCAAGCTGAGGGCGTTTCTTCAAATTGCATTTCTCTGCTTCTTATTAGAAAGATAAGACTATGAATGTAGCACTCGATTGCTAAAAGTGCTGTTGTTTTATTAATATAATTTGGTTTTGTTTTGTTTTTTAGGCCTTTGGCATATTTAGCATTCCTTTAATGTGTGTTGTGTATATGCCTTGAATGAAAGCTTGCACTTTCATATTCCATGAAATAATCTCCTAAGAGTTGTCAGTTTACTAAAACACTTAATGCACAATGTTTTAAAGCAAATTTCTGTGAAAGTGCTGGTAACAGTTACATAGGAACATTGTTTTGTTGATTGGTCCACTATAATTTTATGCAATACTGTATGTAGAGTTCTCAATTATAATAATAAATATTGCCTCTTGGTATACATGAAATACTCATCTTAAAATGATTCTGTTTACAATAATAACCAAATGCTACTGGAGGGTGGGGGGGAAACATGGAGGAGATCAGACTTCTATTCTGGGAATCACAAAGAAATACAATAGTATTGTTACCCAAACTAATACTTCTGTGGAATATTTAATATGTCCAAATATTAACAGTGTTGGATTAATTTAGGAATGTATTACAAAAAATTATTTACTAAATTACCTATTTACAGAAAAGTATTTTCACATCTTTAGGCAGTAAAGGTAGGCAAATAATGCATATATGTTTATTAAACTTTTCCACACACTCTTCTTAAAGTTAAAATTCTAGTAGGCAGATGCTTATTTCAAAAACTTCCATATGCCAAAAAATCATTTCAGTGAGGGGCAGTTGATTCTGACCAAAGTGACTATTGGCATAAATGTTTTTTGTTTGTTTGTTTTTAAACCTTATTCAACTTTGCTATATTTATGTCCAGGAAGATTATATTTAATCTGGTGGCAAAATCAGCGATTAGAGTAAGAGTGGGGTATCATAGTTTCTTTCATACAGAAGCTGTGCTGCTTGGCAGAGCCCATCTTTCAGCTGCTTTGAAAGTATATGTGACCAACTCTCTTCTCTTTAAGAGAGAATTGCTTGGAACTTGAGCAAATAATTACATTGAGCTGGGGTAGATGAGATGACAAATGCTGCCTAATTTTGCAGGTGCCTAATTTCACTCTATTCATAGCTTCAAATTTAGCTGGCTTATGGGAGTTTCCTCTTCTGCTGGACTCCAGAGCTGCTTTAGGGGGTTGAAACTTGTTTTTGAAAGGAAGTTCCAGCCTTGGATCTTCAGGGAGATAAAAGCATTTCGCCACTGTTGTAGCAGAGGCCTTAAGCTCCAGAGCCAGGCAATATTTCAGATAAGTCTGTTTTTTGTTTTATTTTTGTCGCTTCATGACAGCTTTTGAATGAAGGCTCTGACTTTTGTATAGCTCTCTGCTTAGTGAGCTGGTGGCTTTGGATTCCAGCCCAACTTTCTTGACTTGTAAATAGCAAGTGCTGATGTTTAATTCAGAATTCTGATTCTGCTTCAAGGACCAGGTCCAAAAAATCTTTCATTAGATTTTCTTTCCCTGTCTATTACTGTCCAAGTTGGCCAAAAATTGTGGAGGTTCGACTTGGTTGGCCAGACACTTGAACTGTGTTAGTAACATGCTTTGTCTCGTTTTCTATGATAAAACAGCTTGCCAAAATATTTCATGGAACTTAATGATTTTTTTGTTGTTGTTGCTATTGATACTAATTTTTTATTTTTTACTATTTCCTAGTCTGTGGTCAGCTAAACCAAATTCATTCACACAGTTTTAAAACACTTGCAGTTTTAAAGTTCAGTAACTTTCCAGGCTGGTAAATACATTGCGTTAAAAAGGACTGTCTGAGGGATTTTTCAGTTTGTTTTTTTAGGTGGTGTTCTGGATGGGCTCGGGATTCGGCAATAATCACACCAGAACGAGGTGACTGCATCGAGCATTTATTCAGGTGGAAGAACCATACCTGTGGCCATGCATAAGCAGAAGGATATGTGTCGCATCAATGTTGCGTGCCGAGCCGAGTCCACATCTACCAACAATGATGGCAAAGCTGTCGTTGTAGCATTGCTGGATTTTGCTAGCCAGCATCCCAGTCTGCGTAGCATGGTCAATGCTTGCGCGGCAGCGATCCCTGGAGCCAATGCCTTCGAGCAATGACGTTCTTGCATCTCTATCTTTCTCTCTCTTTTTTTTTTTTAACCATAGTTGCATGGGTCTGTAAAATGGTAAGTCGCCCTACCGTGCAGGGTGGTGTAAGCAATCCAGTGGGCCTATTTGCGAGTTAGCATAAGCAATTTTTAGGTGAGTTTTGTGTTCTTAGTCACAAGTTAATTATGCAAACTGTCACTCCTGCCAGCAGCAGGTCACTTGGCCTACA